TTAAGAAACCGACTGACACTGAAAAGGTAAATATCTAAAGTTTAACAAGTGTTTCTGTTGATTTCGTCACTAGATTGAACCAAAACAGTCTCACAGAGGAATGCTGTTCAGAGTTATCATCAGTTCTCAGCACCAAGACCTCGAGTCTGAGACACCTGGACTTGAGCTACAACGACCTGCAGGACTCGGGGATGAAGTTGTTCTCTGCTGGACTCACGAGTACACACTGTACACTGGAAACACTCAGGTCAGGATAAATAACGCTTCACGCCGTATTCACAGATCATTTGTACGACGTTTACTGACGGTTTAAATTCTCTGTTAGCCTGATCGGCTGTAACCTTTCTGAGGGAAGTGGTGAAGCTCTGTCCTCAGTTGTCACCTCCTCTCCTCTGAGAGAGCTGGACCTGAGCAGCAACGACCTGCAGGATTCAGGAGTGATGGCCTTCTTTGTTGGACAGGAGAGTCAACACTCGAGGCTGGAAACTCTGAGGTGAGGTCACATGATGGCATCCTTATTTAATCCTATGCTGAGGCGATATCACTGCATACTGGGCCAAAGTTTATCGACTTAATCTCACAAATGTTTGAAAGCTAGTGCTTGCTGTAATTTTAGTAGAGACCGGTTTTCTTAAAGTGAACTTAATAACATCCCTGAACATCCGTACTTTTCTAAATGCTTGAAAGAATTGTTGTGTCATTTCAACAGGTTGACTCGAACGAGGCTCACCGAGAAGTGCTGTCAGGAGTTATCGTGTTTTATAGCGAAGTCTTCTCGTCTGAAAACGCTGGACTTGAGTGACAATGACTTGCAGGACTCAGGAGTGAAACTTCTCTCGACTGGACTGACGAGTCCACGCTGCCCGCTCCAAACTCTCAGGTGAGGTTCGGGGGACCAGAGGGTTCTGGGGGACCCGATTTTGTAGCTGTTACGCTGTATGTTGTGTGTTATTGGATATGCCACTGTTTTCACAGTTTGCTTTTAATCATTTTGTTGTTTCACCCTCACATAAAACAGCTTAATCAGGAAGTCATTTTTAGAGTTCGATATCTCCAGAACTCCCACAGCTATGAAGTTTAGTGAGGACGCTGACAGAATAGTTTAAAGATGCAGATAGATCTGGAAAGAAGACACATTTTTAACAATTAGCTCTTGAAAATGAAAAAAAAAAAGTGCAAAATGTTCAGACGACGGTGGTTTTGTGGCACCAAAAAGTCCCTTAAGTGTATATATATGGAGGTATCCGTATCTCCTACTAAAAATGCAGTCTTTGGTCGTCATATTTCCAACTTTTAAGGCCTCTAACTATCAGTATAAATGGCTGTGAGGCAAATATGTCAATGCAAGATATCAGTTTTTTCCTATATGAGTTGAAACCTGTCCTAAATGAGTGAAGAAAAAGTGTCTAAGATACTTTAAACTTGATCAAAATTACTCAAAAATGTTCCAGAATACCTCAAAAAGTGTCCAAAGTGACAATAATAAATAATGATTTGCCCCTGAAAATGTAAAAAGGGTACAAAATGTTTAATGGAAGGAGGTATTATGGCCTGAAAAGGTTAAAATAAGTATATATATGTGGATATATACGTGTATATTCTACTAAAATACAGACTTTGGTCGTCATTTTAGCAACTTTTGAGGTTCTAACATCAGCAGGATTTTAATAGACATGAGATTTAATCATGACAAGTGTGGAGTATCATCAGTTTCTCTGTTCAGTCTTCATTTCCTGTATTTTTATTGGAGCATTCTTTAAGGTAAAATCAGCCTCATATGGTCAACATGAAGACAACATGGGATCAAACTGTAACTCAGCACATATCATAACAACATAAAGACGCCCATAAACACCAGCTTTGTGCTCCTACCAATGACGTTTTCACAAGTCAGTCATTAAATTCTAATGATGTTAGAGGCCTCAGAAGTTAAAGCCTCAAAACCACCATTATTTTGCACTTTTTTCCTCGTTTTCATGGGACAGTATCTAAAGATTTGACCTCTGCAGAAGCTATTTAATCATTTGGTTCCACTGGAAACTATTCTGTCTGTGTTCTTGACTGTGAAACTTGCATTTCTGGAGATACTCAACACAAAAATACTACATCAACAAAATCTGAGATGGTGCAGCAACACGATCTGAACTGACAAGAACTGATCCCATCGTTGCTTTGTTCCACTAAGAGAAGTCAGCGTTTCATGGAAGAAGCCTCGAATCTGGCTCTAATAGTTTATTTACAAACCTACAAATATTGAATTTGTGTCCGTTTTGGCAGGCTGAGTCAAACCAACCTCACTGAGAAATGCTGCGAGGACATCTCAGACGTTCTCATCTCTGAGTCCTCCAGTCTTGGAGATCTGGATCTGAGCAACAACCATCTGCAGGATTCAGGGGCAGCACTTCTGTGTGCTGGACTGGGAAGTCCACAATGCAAACTGGAGACTCTCAGGTCTGTATTTTTTTTGTTATTAAGGTGTAATATTGGAATTTTTGGCCTGTAGATGAAATACAGTAGCATGAAGGTAGCATGGCTTCCATTCACAAACATATCCTCCATACATCGGTGCAGTTTTTTGTTAATGGTTCAAATGATTTGTGAGAAATTTATGCAGCATAAAATTTGTAAAAAGACGTTTGTGAAATTTTAGCTTCATATACCAAATACTTTTAGTGATATAATCTTTTTAAAAATGTCCCATCAACCACATTTCCGCAGGTTTTTTCACACATTAACATTTAAGGCTGTTTGATCGACAATATTTCAGGAACTGCTGATAAAAAAAACCTGATTTCTCATCATGTCATTGATTCAGAGTCTGGAATAAATAGATCAAATATTCTCTGATTACAGGTGAAATATGAAAACAAATGAGGCCATCATCAGCTTTGAGCTCATGTTTGCAAAAAAAATCCATAAAACAGACGTCAACTAGTGATGTTTTCTCAACCACAAGGCACAATAATACGAAACTAAACATGTAGAATAGTTTTTAATGTGAAATACTTGCTCACAAAAATGAAAAGAAAGTTGTTTGAGTTGAGCTTTAATAACTGATTGAGCAGGTTTGACAAGTTGTAACCACAAAAACAAAATGCTTCTACAAACTAAGCTCTGAATAATAAATAAAATAATGATAAATGATCTCTGAATGCAGTTATTTTCATTCACAAATGTCAGATTTTTAGAGATATTGTTGTTAAAACAGCCTCTGACCATTTTTATCGAAACGTTCACCAGATACCGTTTTAAATTTCCAGAGTTTAAAAGTTTTGAGCAAGTCAGAGCAGCAGAGCAGACGGACACTGATGGTTTGAGATGGAATGACCCCAACATATGGTCTTCATTTTGCCACAGATTTGATTTGAGGGCTGGTTGTTCGTCATCGTCCAGGATTTTGGCTTTAACATCATGTTCTGTGGTTGATTTGATTTTGGCTTTAACATCAAGTTCTGTGGTTGATTTGATTTTGGCTTGCCTTACTTTGTAATGAAGTCAATCTGCTGTATACTTAACGGGGGAATCAAACAAAAAGAAGAAGAGCCATATTCCATGGTTTCATGGTTTCTCCATCCATGGCGCTGCTGCTGTACCATTTAATTAAATGTTGCTCAAACTGCCGCTGGTTAAACCAAACAATAAGGATCAAACTAAAACCAGGCGAGCGTGCTGATATGTTCTTCAACGCATTTAGTCAGATTTGTTCTCTGTATTCAAAACGCTCAGACAGTTAACTCATTGACATCCATCAGGCTGAGCGGCTGTAAGCTGTCAGAGGTGAGCTGTGGCGCTCTGGGCTCAGTTCTCAGCTCCCGGTCGTCTCGTCTCAAAGAGCTGGACTTGAGCAGCAACGACCTGCGGGATTCTGGAGTCGAGGTGCTGTCGGCTGGACTGACGAGTCCACAATGTCGACTGGAAACTCTGAGGTGAGGACGAGCTTTTACGTTGCTGCGTATCGTCACGTTTTAACCGTATAAACATGAAGTTACACACAAAAGATCTTGGAGGATGGACATGTTTAGAAAACTGTGGATTTTATGAACCGTGTTACTTGAGTGCCGTTTGTATTTGTGTATGTTTGTCGTTGAAAATGTAGTTTTTATGCATACAGGTTACAATAAAGACATCTTTCTAGTAGCGTCTCATTAACTGTTAAAAAAGGAAAATCATTGTTAGCTTTGAGGTATTCGTGTTGTTCATTGAGAGCCCTGGAAACTCAGAAAGCATCAATGGAAACATTCTTTTTTTTGTTTCTTTCTTTTAGGTTGAATCAAACCAAGCTCACGCCGAGCTGCTGTCGTGTTCTCAGCTCTTTGAGTCTGAGGAAGCTGGATCTGAGCAACAATGACCTGCAGGATTCAGGAGGGAAACTGCTCTCTGTTGGTCTGAGGTCTCAACACCGAAGGCTGGAAAGTTTAAGGTGAGCAGCTGGTTTTTTTCTTTAAATCAATCACACGTTGGCCCTTCCTACGATTACAAAACAAGGTCTCAGCTGTGCAGAAATTTCCAACCGTGTGAAATCGCCGTTTTGTGCAGTTTGTCAGGCTGTTCGATGGCTGCAGAGGGCTGCGCCTCGCTGGCCTCACAAGTGAAGTCCAACCCGTCCTGTCTGAGAGAGCTGGACCTGAGCTACAACCATCCAGGAGAGGCAGCAGTCAAGATGCTGTCTGCTGCTCTGAAGGATCCAAAATGGAAACTGGACACTCTCAGGTATGATCAAATCAATCCAGTCAGTTCACACAGAATTCAGGCAGCGTGTTGCTCCTGGTTTTGCTCAGTTTACTTACTTGGCGTCTGAAATGCAAAACTAAGTTCTGTGAAGTATTTGGGCTGAATTTTGAGAATTCCGTGTTTTCCTAAAACCTAATGTAAAACAAAATCTCACCTGTCAAACCATTTTCAGGGAAATAAAACTCCCACAGCCATCAAATTAGGTGAGAACAGAACTATGACAACGGAAAAAAAATACCCACATTTTCAAACAAGGCTGGTGTTGTGGCCCCAGAGAGTGTATTTATATGGATGTGTCCATATTTTCTACTAAAATACAGTCTTTGGTTGATGTTTCACCAACGTTTGAGGCTCTAACATCAGTAGGATTTCAGTAATTTTGATGAATTATCGTCAGTTTCTCTGTTCAGTGTTCATTTCCAGTATCTGTGTGGGAGCATTCTATCAGGTAAAATGAGCCTTAACATGAAGACAACATGGGATATATTGACAATATATGGACCCCTATAAATGTGTTTGTATATACACATATATATGTATATATAAAACACCAGAACCTTGTCTTCTCATATTTGCGACAAGTCAAATTCTGTTGATGTTAGAGGAATCAAAAGTTGGTGAAACGTCGACCAAGGACTGTATTTATGGATACATGTCTATATATATATATGTATACACACACACACACACACACACACACAGTTAGAGGAACTTTCTGGAGACACAATACTTTAGTTTTTTTGAAAAAATTTGCATTTTCTTCCATTTTCAAGAATCATTAATTCAAAATGTCACCTCTGCTGGATCCATTCAGTTCCATTCAAACAATTCTGCATCCTCTCCAAATTTCCTAAAGCGAGTTAAACTTCTGGAGCTATTGGATTGTTAAAATGGTTTCCCAGTTAATGCACCTTTTTTTTGAGCAAGAAAAAAAATAATTCCAGTTGTGAAAACATCTGAAATTCTTAAGATTCAGACTAAATAACTCACAGAACTTAGTTGTGGGTACAAAACAAATGAGTTCACTCGAGGAGGCGGAGCTGCATGGTTATCTGAAATGACACTGAAAGGAAGCTACAAGGTCGTGTTTACATTACAGGGAGACTCAGTGTCTCCAGTCGGTCTGACTTTGTTTTCCTCTTCCAGTGCGGATCATGGTGGTGTTCAGAGGCTGAAACCTGGTTTGGGGAAATGTAAGTATGTTGAACATGTGATTTGTGGTTTGAGACAAACCTGCTGCTATTTTTATGGCCTTTTCTTCTCCGTCAGATGCCTGTGAACTCACTCTGGACCCCAACACAGCACACAAAAATGTGGTCCTGTCCGAGGACGGCAGAAAGGTGATGCTGGCGATCCAGAAGCAGCCCTACCCCGATCACCCGGACAGATTCGACTGGTGCTACCAGCTGCTGTGCACGACTGGCCAGACCGGACGCTGTTACTGGGAAGTGGAGCGGGAAGCAGGGGTTGACATTGGAGTGACCTACAGAGGAGTCAGAAGGATAGGGGCCCGGGATGGCAGCAGGCTTGGATGGAACGACAAGTCCTGGAGTCTAGAGTTCACCGATCAGTGTGTCAACGCCTGGCACAACAACATAAGAACAGCTGTTCTCGCTCCTGCATCCTCCGCCTCGAACAGGGTCGGTGTGTATCTGGACTGGACCGCTGGCACACTGGCTTTCTACACAGTCACACCGGACTCACTGATTCATCTGTACACCTTCTACAGTGAGTTCACTGAGCCGCTCTATCCAGGGTTTGGGTTCTTGTCACTGGAGTCGTCAGTGTCACTGTGTTAGAGACTAGAAGGAGCCCTGTGCTGCTTGATGACGTTACCATCAGGGGTTTGAATAGGATTCACAGGCCTGAGGTTTTATCTGAAAGCATGAAAATAACACGACACACGCATTCTTAGGGCGACACCTTGGTGCAGTAGTTTGAGCATTTAGTTGTAGATTAAATCCAAAATGTTGCAGAAATGTTGAAACAAGGCAGCACATTAGTCCGTCTACCTCCTGACTATTGTCTCACTGATTATTAGTCCAGCTTGATTTGTCCTTTTTTTTTTGTTTATCTTTATTAAGTCTCACAATCAAATTTTTCAGTTTTAATTCTCGTTCATGCAGACAGACACAGTTCAGAGGTACAAAACTGACAAAGTTCTGCTGTTCACGGCTCATTTTAGAACCGTGTTTATGCAGGAAGTCACTGGTAGACTCATTTTAGTTCCATTTCTATTTCTAAAAGGTCAACATCGTCTTTCTAAAGTTATCTTTTTGATGGTTTGTAAGATGAAACTCTTCACTGTTCAGCTTAGAAATAATGCAGTTATTGAACGGTGATACGATTCTGAATCATTTGATCCTGAAGCAATACACAGGTTTCACGTTTGTTGTATATTTTCTACCACATGATTCCTAGTTTTGTTATACGTAGAAAGAGGCTGAACTATTCAAAGTAAAATATATATATATTAAAATACCAGCATTTTGATTAATTTTCAGCTAAATGAAACAAAAGTTATATTCAAGAAATATACAGAGAACTTTAACACACTTGTTTAGCAGTATAACTGTCAGTATAAGCTGATTGAAGTGTTTGCTAATTTATTTATTGATTGTTGATAGTAAACAGAAATATAGTTTGAGACTGTCTATAATAAGAAAAGTCAATAAATACTGTACATAGCATTGTTGTAAATCATTTAATGAATTTATACGCTTCTTATAAAACCTGAACAGGATAACTGAAGTAAAAAAACGTTTTTTTAATTAATTTGTACAATTAAAAAGAGCCAAACATACAAATGTTACAAAAACAATGTGCATCGTATTTCCATGATCTAAGTCCCTTTTATGACATTTTCACAGGAAACGTTTGTAAATACTGAAACGTGAACGATAAGAGATGAAATACTGTTTACTGTAATGATCCCTGAGAAGAAAATCACATGTGGAGGCAAATCAAACAAACAAGGAAACACTTTTTGAATCACGAAACAAGTGAAATACATGAAAAGAAAAAAGCTTTAAACAGCATGTACTTTATAATATGTGAGACTAAGTTGGTTATTTGTGCAAATACTTAAGCAAAAGTGTCGCATAAAGGCAGCTCTGTCGGCCACAAACGTAGGCAAGTATGAAAAATAATCTGTAAACTAAGTAATAATAGACACAGACGAGTAAAACCGTGCTGTGATGTGAAGGAAATAGGCTGGTGATGTGAAATAAAGACATCTGTAAACAGAATAAGACTTAAATTGAAAATTATTTGACACTTTCTGAAGCTCTAAAAGCTTCTCAGACTATGTGGGATGTGAGATATCAGTTTGGTTGCTACGGTAACCACCAGCAGCATCCGAGGAGGATGCTGGCGTCCCGTGAGAAGCAGCAAGTTTGTAGTTGAGGCCGATGACCAGCGAGCAGAAGCGGTCGACGCCCACGAAGTCGCAGCACACGATGTTGACTCCGCCCCCCTCCGGTCCAGGACGCTGCTCGCCGGTCCAACGCAGCAGCAGCGACAGCGCCTTGGCCGTCATCTTCCTCATGTCCTGCAGCGGGTGGAGGAAGATGTACGCGGCGTCTTCGGTCAGATTCAGACCGCAGACGTAGAAACCGGCTGGAAGACAAACAAACACAAACCAGGTAAACAAACACCTGAAGTTTCAGGGAGGTTTTCATGTGACTTTATACTGCTAATCCACTGATTTTTTTTGCTTTTTAGATCCCAAAAAACAAAAGAACGTTAAATATTTACCCTCTGAACTCTAAGCAGTCACCTTTTTACTCACTCATCATCATTTTTCAAGCAGAACAATCATGAAGAAGGAGAGAGAACTCAGAAATGTCATAGAAAAAAGAAAGAGTGGCCAATAAATTATTGATTCTTTATTCACCAAAAATGTAAAAACCCGGAATCAACATGTGCAACATTTTTCCAAATGCCCACAGGTGTTAAAAACTAAAGATTGAGACTCAATAAACATTACATTTTTTTATTTGTGCAATGCAACGAGAATCACAGAATAAACCTCTGCCTTATTACATAATCCGGTTAAACTGGCTTCTTTTTGGTGAATTTTTAAATGAAACATGTAAAATAAAGTCATTTTGATGTAATATCATGATTTTAAGCTCCAATTTGGTTAATTTTTCCAAATAACTAGCACACAATTCATTCAAGGACTGCTGGAAAGTTCAAAATCCAACAGCTCTTAGTCTTTTTACAGTTCCTGGCTATAAAAAGTTGTGCAATTTTGCTTGTTTTCTTCAAAGACTGCAAGTTTTGGGGTTCAGACGTTAAAACATCAACGTTGTTTCATCCAGTATATGTAGTAATGAGTACTTTTACTTCTAATACTCCTGAAGTTTTAAGAAGCAGAATCGCTGCGTACCTGGCCTCCCTCTGCTCTTCTGCTCCTCCAGATAAGCGATCACCTTCTCGGGGTCTGAGCTGTCGGCGTACCTGGAGACAGAGCGACGCCATCATCAACAGACAAACAACATGACAGCTCTGCAGCTACAGACAACACCGCGGTAAAGCCTGATTATTATTATTATTATCTACAGCATGGTGTCAAATTACATTCATAGACAATAACACGCTCCAAATGTGACTGAAATCGGACAGATCCTCCAAACTGATCTGACAGCAGCCCCAAACATCTAAACTTTAAAATCTTTATGTACTTGGACAGACAGTCGTATTTTGGGTGGAATAGACCTTCAAAGCGGGACCTTGTTCTTTAGAAAGGTCAATATGGGTTGAATAAACATTTAAAACGATAAGTACTTGTACAAAAAGTAGTGTTATGAGTTAAAATTTACCATTAGCATGATAAGTATTTGTACACAAAGTGGTGTTTTGGGTGGAATTAACCTTTATATCAGGGGTGTCCAATCCTGGTCCTGGAGGGCCACAGTCCTGCATGTTTTAGATGTTTCCCTTCTTCCAACACACCTGATTCAAATGATCAGTTCATCATCAAGCTCTGCAGAAGCCTGATAACGATCCTGATCATGTGAATCAGGTGTGTTGGAAGAGGGACACATCTAAAACATGCAGGACTGTGGCCCTCCAGGACCAGGATTGGACACCCCTGCTTTATATCTTTAAGTACTTTGGACAGAAAGAAGTATTTTGGGTGGAATAAACCTTTAAAACCATAACTTGTTGCTCTGTGAAGCGCTGACTAATGTGGAAGCTGTTCTCCGAGCCTGAGTGTTGCAGCTTTACCCGTTTTTCAGATATTTATCAGAACCTCCAGGCTGTTTGTTTTACCAGTACGGTATCTGAGCCCACAGCTCCGGATGCTGCAGCACCACCTGCTGGTCGTCATAGGAAACGACAACCTGCTGACTTCTGGACCAACAGGAGCGCAGAGTTGGAGTCTCCTGCACAGATAAAGACACTGAATCAAGTTCAGTGTTTTATTAAACAAAAATAAAGACATTTACATCATAAGTTGGTGCACAAGCCTTCACCAGAATGACGGAAATTTAGTTTTTGACGCTCAAAATGTCTCTAATTGTTGTGCGCCACAGTATTGAAATGAAATCTAATGCAAAAAGAACACAAGTTTATATGATTATCAATTCTACCATAACATCAGGGAGGCGCCTGATTGGTACCAATGTTATTTTAGCACCTAAAAACATTTAAAAAGTGCATGTAAAAGTGGAAAACAAACATAAAAGCTGAAGAAAATGTGGCAGAAAATTAGAAATAAGACATTGTGAGGAATATTTGGTGCAAAATTTAAGCAAGAGTGCACCATAATAATATATGTTTCAGTGTTAGAGCTCAAAGTGATGACGAACAACAGTCCAAATATATTTAATTTACATTCTAACGCAGAGAACTGCAGCAAATCCGGCGACAGAGAAGCTGCAATGAGCGAATGTCTTGATAAGAAGCTGTTTCTACCTGCGAGGGGCACAGCTTCCCTCCAAACAGCCGGACGATGAACTCCACCAGATCGGCGTGATCTTCATCAGTCAGAGACTCGAAGTGCGAGCAGGAGATGACGACGATCTCTTTGGGATGAGCGTCGAGCCAGACGGACAGTTCATCCAGCGCCTCCTGCACACAAACACTGCAGCTGAAAACCAAGAAAACAAAAAAAACAGCAGTATGTTCCTTTTTTGGTTTCGTGGCTCTGCAGAGAGGAGAGGAGATAACTGCTGACTCCTGTGAGGTAGAAAGACAACGAATTTTGATTCTAGTTTATGGTAAATCACAGCAAACTTTGAGTGGAATAAAGAATCTCTGAGCTGCAAGAGCAGGTTTGAATTTTTCTTTTTTGAGTCTAGTTTGCTTGCAACTTTTTTTACTATAAACTGTAGATATTTAAAATAATATCTACATAAATTTCAGCTTCAAAGATTAAAAACTTTCTGAGATTAAAAAAAAAAATTAAAGTTCCCCATTATAGCCCATTTTTTCGCACAGTCAAATTTGAGGCTGTTCAACGACAACATCTGAGGAACTATTAAAGCCTAAAATCTTCATTGTTATGTCTCATCATGTCATTGATTCAGAATCTGCAACACTGGACAAGCAGATCAAATATTCTTTGATATGGGTGAGTTGGAATATGAAGAAAAATTGAAGCTGACATGAAAAATCTCATTTGTACTCAAAAAACTAAACCAAAAAAAGAAAAGGTGTCCATATTCTGAATTATTAACATTTTATTGTTTTTATCTTTATTCTATTTTTGTATTTATTGTCTTGTTTCAACTCTGCTTCATTTTTTTCCCTAGCTACTAATATATTTATTCGTAAAGCACCTTTAAAAAGCAAAGTTTCACAGCGCTTTACAATAAATACAAATGTACAATTAAATAAATAAGATCTCAAACAAGATAAAACAGTTCTAACAAACACCACCAGTTAGGAAAACGGCAACCTATAAAAGAAAGAATTAAAAGGAGGAGGTTATCCTTTAAAATAATCTTTACATTCTTAATTTATTCTGTATTTATCAATGATCGACGTATGTATCTGTCTGCCGCCCAGGTTTAGGATCTAGTGAAGTTCCGTACATGTTAAAAGTGAGAATTGATTTTTAAAAAAGAGCAAAACTGATGTGGTGTCGTCATGTAATTAACCACAAACCTTGACAGTAATCAGCGTGTAGATTCCGTGTGCGAAGAACAGTTTTCTGCCTCCCGTCGGCTTCCTGGCGATTCGCAGGTCGAAGAAACGAATCCCAAGATCGCACTGACGACTGAGGACCGACTGCTGCACACGGACAGAAGTAATACAAACTCAGTCACTTAATTCAGTTGGTGAGCAAATATTTACAGAATTTATTTCTCATTTAAGAACTTTTCAAGCAATGGGGCAGTAAATCTAATATATATTTGGAATACTTGCTGGGGTTTTTTTTAGCCTTCAGCTCAATATTTTGGTGTTTTATCGTATATTTTTGGACATAATGACAATTAAACACCATGCAAATAACGAGTTAAAGTCACAAATATTCCCAAGACGCCTGTATTTTTTTGTGAAGGAGAAACTAAAGCAAAAGGAACACATGTGCCCTCTTTCAAATAATAACCCTGCGAATAGTATGCACAAACAGATATAAGATATAGTGGAAAAGATAAGTTGATTAATCAATTAATAGATAAAGAAAATTAATGAGTTTGATAACTAACTGAGTGTTTGATGAGTAAAAGTGTCAACGACAAAATAAAATCACAGGTTTTAGCTTCATAACTGGTTTTGTTTGATCATGTTTGACTACAGAACAATATTATATAGAACAGCAGATTATGAAAAATAATAAGTAACGACAACAACAGTTTTTCAGACATTTTTCAACTAAAAGCAGCGAATAAATGCCAAATATTTGCTGATTTTAGCCTCTCAGGGGAGACGATTGGCTGCTTTTCTTTGTCAAATATGACAACAAACTGAATAATTTACGGGGTTTGGACGAAATTACACGTTTGAAGTGGCCACAGTCGGATTTTATAAAACAGTTAAACTTTTATCTCATTAGTGGACAGAAAATGTCCACTACAAGCCTCCCTTGTAGTCTGATTTTTATTGCAGTGTTGTGCATCACTGAATCAACACCTGAATACACAGAAGGAGGCTCAGGCTCATGGTGAGGCAGGTCACCGTTATAAGCCCCACATCTGTACCTGAGTGGTGGCCCAGCGGTAAACACATGGCCGGGTGCAGCAGGGGAAGAGCCGGTCGGTGAGTCTGAGGAGGCAGGACTCCGATCTGACCACCGGGGAGGAGACGTCCAGGCAGAAGGACATACTGTCATGGCTCCCTGCGGGGTCAGACGGTCACTTTACAGCTTAAAATTATTTACTAGACTGTGTGTGGGTGTGTAATAGACACATTTGTAATGCTTTTATGTAGCTGTGTTGTTAAACAGTTGCACTAAGCTAGCCCAACTAGCGCCTCCGTGTTACCGGGTAGAGCCAGGTTCCACAGCGGGACGTCCAGCAGCTCCTCCGGTAAACGGGACATCCAGTCCGGGTTTGCTCCGAGCTGCGACGGCTGTTCGTCCTCCATGTTCTTCAGCTGAAATACGCTACTGTCTGTATTTATCTTGTTATCTCATCCTGAAGCTTTAACCTGCTGCTTTTGCTACGCACGGTTTGTTTACAAACGCTTCCGTGTTCGAAACGTCATCATTGTGCGTCACTGACAAAAAGCGACGGACGTTTCCTTTCAAAATTAAAAGCAGTGTACACCATAGATATGTATAATAAAGGCCTTTATTAAACATATCTATGCATATAATAAAGGCCTTTATTATACATATCTATGGTGTACAGTCCAGTAAAAGTAATGTTAAATATTTTCGGGATAATCTTAAATTTTAAAAGCAGCTGCGTTATTTAACATGTAGAATATCAAAAGTATAATTTTAAAATTTTAAATTGCAGCTGGCAGTAACTATATTATCATATGTATTGCTATAATGGAATATATGAAATATTTTTCCAATGTGCAGTGCACTTTAACAGGCTCTCTCTCACTGTAACCACTAGAGTAGCATTATTAGTATAAAACTGTAAAATGCTATATTTATGATGAGATCAAGTCTAAGCGTCGGTGCTTTCATATCGTATTTTTATGCACATTTTGAACATTTTAAAGTATCACAATCGCAAAAAGTTGATGGAAACAGCAAAATTAAAAAAAAAAAAAAGAAAACGTACCCAATTTTGAAACAAAAAAAAAAAAGTTTCTATGTGCGCTTGAGATGGTTTTTGTCTTTTTTTGAAAAGAAGCTAATGAGCTTCATGGAAAACGACTTTTCCCAATAAGTTGTGACGTAGTGAACATTTCACCCACGATTGATCAGACCACCTGCTATTACGTTCACTACTGATTAATGTTTCTTGATAAAGATTTGATAAATAAAATGTCCATGCTTTTAATATTGTTCGTTCTATCAGTTTGATCGAGCTTGTAGTTGCATCTTGTCACCACTAGAGGTTGTCATCAGTGTAACGTGCTTGCCTACAAAAAAGAAAAGATATGTTGAATAAAAAGTAATATAAAAAGAGACGCATGGGTAGAATCTAAACATAAATAAGTAAAACACACGGTAAAACAATGTTAATGTGCTAGCACGCTAACATTTGCGATGCTTTTCTCTCTCTGGCGCCATCGTCAGGCCAAACATTGTACTGCTCATCTGCAGTTTGTCCTTATTGCTGAATTAGAAATTAAAATGTGCTAGAATCAAGCGCTGGATCGGGATGTTTCAGTTTTTCTCCTTTTCTTTTGTATTTTATGTTCTTTTTTTCCATTTTGGTGCCAGTTTTGCTTGTTTGTTTGTTTGCTGTTTGTTACTATGCAGTTCTTCACGTGTAAACATCACCGATTAAAGACTTAAATTAAAGAAAACCTGAGTCAATTTTGGAAAATTCAAGGTTTAGATGTCCAGATGGTTCAGTTAGTTGTAGAAAGGTGGTTAAAAGACACTTTTTTAAAATTAAAAAGCAGCAGTCACTCCTCTAAACTTCCAATTTTGCATATTTGTAGCTTGAACGCTGCGATTTTTAGAACCTGCGTTTGCATTTAGCTTTTAGAATGACTCTGAATACCTGTTTTGATTCCAGTTTCTTAATTGTGAATAATCCGTAGTTCCTTTCCTCCTCTGAAACAGAATATTTTTAAGTTGTGGACGAAACAAGACATTTGTCATCGATACAATTCATGTTTTTCTGACATTTTCTACACCCTAACAACTCGCCAAATAACAGAAAATTGTCACTTGCAGGTCCATTGTTTCACATATAAAGAAATCGTGAAAGGTCACACACCAGCAGAGGCTGCAGGAAACAGTTAATTTTATCAGTGTGGAGCCACTTCAATCATCAGGAAGTCATTCTCAGCCTTTCTGCCTTGTGACCACTTAAAGTTAAGTAATGTCTGCTTGCAGCGCTGCCTCGGCTTGTTATGTAGCTGCTTTCTTTCAGTTTTTCTGTCTGACTGACTAATTTTAGATCTAACGGAACTAGTTTTATTTAGAACTTTACTTGTATTATTAATATATTTTTAAGTTTAGTCCTGAAAAGACATCAGGAAAAAGTCGAGTGAAGCTCTACCTCCACATGATCACTTCTTCCATTAGGGCCTCCATTAGATTATCGTGATGCACTAACATGCTTTGTGTTGGTGAGCAATATAGGACACATGAAAGGCCGTTTTTAAAAATAGAAGGAAAATCACATTTGATGTTGCTTTGTTTAGCACCAGCGTTAAATTTAAACATAATGCTGCAGAAAATCGGTTAAACCGTTGAAAACGACAAACGACCGGCTCGCTATTTCCGCCCTCCGTGTGTTTTTTATACCATGTAAATGCAACAGCAGCACAAACTGACCCTCATTGGAGTCACACATAGCTCGTTCCAATTGGACTTCTTCTTAGAAAATGAATGGCAGCTGTTTAGTACATACCATTTTCTCAGAATCATTAAACGGAGCATCTTTGAGTAGCTGAAGTTGAGATTTGTTCAGCATCAGGCCTGATTCACAGAAACTACAGCATTAACAGTAATTCTGTAACCTAAATTACTGTTATGAAATGATCCTGTTAGAGTAAAGACGCCGTGACCGACATAGCAGCTGACGGCAGATAACCGCCACATAGTGACATGAAATGAAGAGCATATGGTCTGATCGGGTCACCTGATCTGAATGAGCACAGTCAAGTCGAAGCCAGTTTTCTCCGACTTTTAAAATTTTCCTGCTTTCTTTTCATCGCTGAGATTTAAATCTTTTATTCTTTAGATGCGTCCACCTTTATTTTTGATGACAGACTCATTCGTCCTCGTTCGCTTTCTGCAGAGATGTTCCTCAAAGCCTGATACCTAAAACACACCAAAGTGTTTTCTATTGTAGTCAAGTCAGGAAATATATTTCCCCAAATCGTAGTTTTATCGTCAGTCTCCGATCTCCGTGCTTCACTGTCAGGATTATGTACAGAAAAAGTTCTCAAATTCTTATTTTTTTTTAATATTTCCCCCACTTGAATGTTTAAGACCATCAAACAAATTTGAATATTAGACAAATATTACCAAAGTAAACACAAAATGCAGTTTTTAAATGATGATTTAATGTTTAAAGCCGTCCAAACCTACCTGGCCCTGTGTGGAAAAGTAATTACCCCCCTTGTTAAATCATGAATTAATCATATTTTTTGGGAAGCTGAGTTCAATTTCACTGATCACACCCAAGCCTGATTAGCTCCAGACCTGTTCAGTCAAGAAATCACTTCAACAGAACCTGTCTGATGAAATGAAGTCAGCCAAAAGATCTCAAAAAGCTGCAACAAAATGCCGCGATCCAAAGAAATGTTGTGTTTACTTGGGTTGTCTTTGATATTTACATTTGTTTGATGATTTTAAACATTAAAGTGGGAAAAATATGCAAAATAATAAGACTTTGAGAAGGAGGCAAATACTGTTTCACTCTAGCAGTCCTGGTCAGGTTCACGCCAAACATGCTGGACAAATTCATCTTCATCTGACCAAAGAATGTTCTCCCAACATTCATCAGGCTTCTTTTCAGGTTTTTAGAAAAGTGTCATGTTGCAGTTTTGTGCCAAACGCTGTTTTTCTTGCCCTCTGTCCAGAAGTATGGACATAATGAAGAGCCCTTCACACTTTCAGAGCTTCCCAGACACTCAGATTTCCACTGATAACCCCTGGACCAAGTCTGAAGCTGCTACTGTTTGTTCTTTTCCGCAAGATTGTGAAAGTACAGTCGTGACTCGATAGTCCGACACTAAATGTAAAACCTTCTTTTATGTCGGATAGCAAGGCTGTCGGATTGTCAAGACGGACGTCGAGATACAAGGAGGGCTTGATGCTGGAAGGCTCATTAGTTGTTAATATTTATTGCTCATAGTTGTTATAATAACTAGTAGGACTGGTCCGTATAGTACTTTCTGGGCCCAATTAATGATGAATATCAGAATATTCGGTGTAGTCAGGGGACACTTCCACCCCGGGGCAGCGCTCGACAGGGTGGAAGTGTTCGGAAAGCACAGGCAGTACTTGGCTGCTGATGCCAGTTTAGTTAGCGGTCACACTTCCGTTTCCACCATCCATGTTTACTTCCATAAACACTGAGCACACTCGCTGCGTGTGACGTCGTCGTGTCCTCTTCTGCGCATGCGGGACACTTTTGGGTCGTATGAAGTTCACACAGCAGATCACATACAAGTGGCATTTAGTTGGAAATGTGAACAAACTCACAAAAAATTGGATTTCACACAAAAAAAACAAAAACGAAATTGAGCATGAAGTCCTGCAGTGTGAACGTAGCCAATCTGTAGGATTGTTCAGTCAGATAAAACGCCGTTATCCTGATTGGTGACATTAAATGTCATGTCGGAGTCAGAATCCAAGGCTGTCCCTATGTTAAGGCTGTTTTTTATGGGTTCCGTACGTTTTTCCTAAAAACCTGTCGGATAGCAAGGTTTAGGATTGTTCAGGGTCGGATTATCAAGTCACGACTGTAGTTCAATGTCTGTGGAGTCATTTTCGGAGGCCGACCACTGCAGCCCTGATTAGTGCGACTATGGCTCCTTCTATACCTCCTGATCACTGCTGCTTGAGCTGATTCGTTGTTGCTCACTGATCTTCCTGGATCCTTTTCCTTCTTTGTCAAGTCTCTCAGTCAGATTTTTCAGTTCCTCTGTTCAATGCTTTTGAACTTTTCAATTTGTTCCGTTGGTCCAAAGCTGAGAAAGTTCTGCTGCTCACGGCTCATTTTAGAACCATGTTAATGCAATTAGACTAATTAGGAAATCACAGGCGAGTGTTTCAGTGATCACAGGGGGATTCGCATTTGCTGCATTGAGTTTCTACTTTGGGGCCTGGATTATCAACATAGTCTTTCTAAAGTGTTTATTTTGATTGTTTATAACAGCAAATACTCTCACTGAGAACTGAATGTTGTACAGGGGCGTAATCTGGAGTTATGCAGAATCGTTAAAATCTGATATTCTTCCGGCGATGGCCTTCTGCTGTTGTTTAACTGTCTTTCTTTGCAAATTTCTTTCCACTATAGTTCTGATCATTTACCAGAATCTGAAGTCTGTCGTTTGTCTGTTGAAGCCTGGACATGTTAATTCTCACACACACACACACACATTTTGCTTTCAAGGACCAACGCTTGTCCTGAGAAAGGACCAGTAATGATATTATGTGATCACAAGAAGCTTTTTTAATTTCGGTTTGACATAACAAGTTTCGTTTTCCTGCCACGTCGCAGAAAATAGCCAGTGATCATGTGAAAAATGGCCTGAAAGCTTTTTATGTTGATGCAACGGTTTGATTATTTGTTATGTCAACTTGAGATTGGCAGGAAACGAGAATCTTACGGGGAGATTACAAAAAAACCAACACTCGGACTTGCCTAATTTGATTTTGGTGAGAAACTTGTGTTTCATAATTTAGGGAATTGGCATGGCGACCAAAAAGCAGCTTTAGTGGGGTTAAGTAAACTCCCACTGCAAATTTACACAGAAGTCTGTTAAAGCTACAATCCAGGCTTAAAATCCAGGTTTTATCATCTATTTCCTGGTCCTACCTGCTTTTAGATGGTTTCCTGTGTAAAACTTACTTTAGCTTTTCTTGTTTTTAACAAATAATAAATGTACTTTGTGTGCTGTGCAATTTAAATGTAAGTTTGCATCCTGTTGTCAATGGATTTTGACCAGTCTAGTCAAAGATCCTCTTGAGATTATTCAAATTTAAAGGATTTATTATGCTTTCTTTCCCTGTTAGTCTTTGAGTACAGAATGGAACCGATAAAAGCATCATTTTTCTATTTGTTGAATGAATTTCTGCAATTTAGAGCCTGCAAGTAAATTATCTTGACAAGTAATATTATTATCATCACTGGTTTTAGTTAGATGAATTGTTATTCCCAGTTTGACCTCATGGTGGCACTGTTTTCTTACTATTTGAATGCCTTAATCTGAACATAGCGATACAGAAGTTTGTCTGTTTGGCTTATTTGTCACAGTAATGTGATGCTGCAGCACCTGGACATCAGGTTTTATGCAGAACAGTATTTCTTTTTGCCAAATCTGCTGTAAAACTTCAATTAAAATCACTTGTTTTACAACCAATTATTTGATATTTAAAAGATTTCTGTATGTTTTGTTTTGTAATACTGTGACATGCAGCTAGATTTGGTTCAGAAATATAATTTTTTTTTCATATTTAAATTTATGCATAATCAGATTTTTTATGTTGCTGTCCAATATTGTAGATTGTAAATCAGTGACATGATGAGAATTAACAGTGAACGTTTCAGGTTTTTCTTGAGATGCTGTTGGCCTCAAATTTTAACGTGAGAAAAAAATGTGTTGAAAGTGGGCGATTTTTAACAAAGTGTCTCATATTTCAGCCCAAAATTTCTGATACCATTTCCATATGCTTAGTTTATGATAACAAAAAAAATGTTTCAAGGAAATCAGTGACAATCAAAATGTGTTCTTCTCTTTTTAGGTTTTCTGGAGACCATGTGGTGTGCAACACGAGACACTGGAGGCATTCTTCAGTTTGGAAAAACAAATGTTTCATCACATCTAAATTAAATCTAAATCATACACAAATGACAAACATATGTTTTGTTCTTGCTGCAACAAGCGACATGGATTTAATATACAGCTGAATCTGTCTTATGTAACACACATGCAGTCGTAATGTGTTTAAGGAATAATTATCTTGTGATCCGAGGAATCTTGCAGACCCTTAAATGATCCCGACGCTGGGAGTCCCGGCTTCAAACAAAGGGACTTTTTAAGTTTGCAGCAAGGACACATGGGCTGTCATTAATAATAATATCATGAGAAACTTACTGCGCCTCGACGGAGGTCAGCTGAGGCGAGCGATTCATGACCGGATAAGCCCTCTGAGCAAACAGGTTGAATTCAGCTGAGTGTCATTTCAGATGACTGATTACAAACTCTGATGAATGGTCATTTTACTACATCTGCTTTACAGCTCGCCCATATGTAACAACAGATTATAAGGAGTATGTGACGTACGTACGTGTGTCCTGTTGTCTTATGTTTATTGTCGTGCATCTCTTTGTGATTGTTTGCATTTAATTTAATCATTTCATGTCTCGTGTTGATGTTGGAACTCTTTATGGTTGTTTTTTTTGCCCAATGTTTATCATTTAGTTTTACATTTTGGCCATTTTGCATCTCTTTATGGTTGTTTTTTTTTGTTGTCCAGTTTTCATCATTTTGCATCTCAAAGTGAGAAGTTAAACCACTGCAGGGCCACAAAGACGAGACCTTCTGCTGAACTGAAGCTTTAAGGTTAAAGCATTTTATAAATCAGAGGAATGTCAACACTCAGAAATTATTACTAATCGTTTGGCTTAAACTTAAAGCAAAGATGTTAATAAATGTTTAATATCTCCTCACCACATGCAGAAGCAGCATTTGCATGTCAGCGTGGTGACTAAAGTTTCCTTTTCTGTTCAGTGTCTTTGGGATATGTCACTGTGAGAGTTGTACTATTGATTTTACTTTTTTTTTTTTTTCCCATTTTCTCTTTCATTTATAGCAGCCAGAAATGAATGACCTGCCCACTCCGGTCACACCACTGCCTCCACCTTCCTGCCCCACTGCGGGTCACATTATGCTGTAATTTTATAAAGCAAATGGACTACAGCGCTCAGTCCACACTTCTGGTCTCAGACAGCAAGCCGGCTGCTCCTCTGACACCCAGGTATGACTATTTCAATACTTTTCTCTGAAGACAAAGTTTGGTGTTGGTTTTCCTGCGTCGAATCTGCAGAGTGCAAAGATCCTAAAAAGTACGATATTGCTAATTTTCTCATGAACGATCCAAGTTCTGTGGTGTTTTAGCAAATCATCGGCTTAAGAAACCTTTTGAAAACGGACAAAGTGGACAAAAAAACAGTCATTTTCTTCTGACAAGATGTCGACTTGATATCTGACGGGTGTTTCACTGAGTGGTAACAGAGGCTTACAGAGGAATGATAAGGGAAGCCGGGTATTAGGAATAAGGGCAGATATCAGGTTTTTAGCGAAGTGTTTAGAGTTTCATTGAGACATCTAGTTGGTATAAAGGGTTTATAGTGGAGGTTAGTGGATTTCCATTGAAGGGGTACACGGGGTGTATAGAGGAGGATTGAGAGATCGGGGAGTTTAGAAGAATATGAAGACAAAAAGGGGTTTTGCAGGGATGTATAGTGGGTCTGCAGGTAGTATATAAAGGGTTAGAGGTACTAGGAGATAAAGATAGTTTTTAAAAAAGGGTCTAGAGTGTTTACAGATGGATTTGTAAGTGAGTGTAGAAGATTGTGTTTTTAAAGGGGTATGGAGTGTACAGGGGGTCATTTGAGGTATATAGAAGGCATAAAAGGCATATCCTGGAATATACAGGAACACACAATGATAATGGATGAAATACGGTGGCTAGAGAGGGTTTAGAGAGAGAGACAGAGGGTTTATGAATGAGTATGGAGGGTACAATGGGATTCTTGATGGGTACAAAGGGTATGGAAGAGTAGTTATGAAGGGGTAGGAAGAAAATAGTTATTTTTTATGGATGGTATAAGGGGTTCAGGGGGATTTGAGAGATGCATAGAGGGTTTATGAAGGAACAAAAAGAGTGAAGTGGTTTTTATCAAGGGTACAAAGGGTACAGAAGGATTAGAGTGAGGTACAGAGGGTTTATGAACGGGTATGACGGGTACAGTAGTTTCTATTAAGAGTATGGAGGGTGAGAGGGATTAGAGTGAGGTGATTCAATGGGGTTTGGAGAGCAGAGTGGGTTTTTAGAAGAGTGCAGTGGGTACAAAGGGTTTAGTATCATTCACAAAGGGGTTTTTGAAGTGGTATGAAGGGTACAATGGGTCTTCTTTTATAAGATATTAAGTGTACAGAGGGTTTATGAAGGGGTAAGACAGGTACAGTGGTTCCTATCAAGGGTACTGAGGGTACAGGAGGATTAGAGCGAGGAACAAAGGGTTTTTGAAGGGGTATAGACGGTAACGTGTTGGTTTGGACAGTATAGAAGATACAGAGCATTTAGAGCAAGGTTTATAAAGGGATATGGAGGCTACAACAAGATGCGCACAATAGGATCAAATGTATATGAAGACCTGCCTGAAGAGGTTCGCCATGTTCAACGAATGGCGGCGCACATGGACGCGGCGCCCCCTTCAGGAAACAGTGAGAGTGAATGTGTAGTGCAAAACTTACTGGTTGAATACTCCTGAAGAAACGCTCTCTCATCTTGTCTGTACTACTGTGTATGTACAGCAAAATGACAATGAACTTGATTTGATTGTAAATGGAGAATATGAGGGCAAACCAAAGGCTAAACGAAAGACACCATTAAATGTTCCACCTTCCTTCTTCACCAGTAGGTTTTTCCTCATCTCAGTTCAAAGTCTGAAGTTACATTAGACAACTGCTCTGTTGATTTTGCACCCAAAAGTCACAATGACGCCTCAAATCTGCATCCAGAGAGTAACGAAGAGGTGTTCGGGTTTCTGTGGAAGTTCAGAAGTTTAGCTAAACTTCCTCTCTTGTGGAGAAAAGTGGAGAAATGTTGCAGATGTGCTTCCCTTCCTCTCATGTTCTCATTCAGTTCTGCCAATGAATAAATAACTGCTATCATCTCCACAGGATCTAACCACAACTTAATCTGTGTGACGAGACACTAATGTGAAAACTCGCCTGCTCATAATAATGTATTTTCAACCACATGCTTCATGTTTAACGCACCACACTCGATCATCTCAGCTGATTGTTGTGGTCACTGAGGTGAATTACTGGCCAATAACGTAATGAAATGTACAGAGAGCTGCCAAGAACAGCACGATGATTCTATTTGAGGACATTTCCATGTATATATTGAACTTCTTTCAAAATTGATTTCTAAATGCATGGAGCAACACTTTTTAAAATCAGCACTTTGACATTTAATATTGCTGCAGTAGCTCTCCTTGAAACTTTAAATGTCTTCTAATGCAAACACATGACTTTCCTTCTTAGTAACTTTTTTAAAAAGTGCATTTCTTTTCTTTCTTTTTTTTCCTTTTCCTCCCCTTTGTTCATGTTTGTTTCGTGCATTGAGTCGCTTTACTGGCAAACCTGGTGAACTCCAGGCTCATTTAAACCTCCCTATTACACTTACACTTGGAATCATTTTGGAGGAAGTAAATCAGATTTAACAGTCGCATCATGTCCTTAATTAAAACGGGTTTCATTCTACAGCATGAGCCTACTTTGCGGCATTCCTCAGCCTAATTTGTTGTATGTAGTGCTCAATTTAATTTTCAAGGAATCCCAGAGGACTGCACTGCACACGTTCATGGTGTCATTATGCAACTTGTTATTCATTTAAATATCCACCATGTGACTCTCAGATGGTACTGAGGTGGTTTTGTAGAAAAAAGTCAGGCCGCCAATTACAGAAATTTAGTCCAATTTAAAACATTTTATGGGATTACTCATCCTGTCGTGCAGCGACGCATTTGTCATGTCACTGCTCTCGACTGTCTTTTTTTTTTCTTCCTGAACAGCAGAGATTTGATTCAAGACAATGGATCCCTACAACTGCTTGGAGTGCAGTGAGTCCTTGTATGGACAGAAGTACCTGCTGAAGGAGGACAATCCGTTCTGCGTTAAGTGCTACGAGAGCCTTTTCTCCCACAACTGTGAAGTTTGCCAGAAGCTCATTGGCTGCACAAGCAAGGTAGCACATCGACTTGTTCTTTTTCATCAACGCTGAATGTTAATAGCTTTGGTGTTTCCTCTAAAGCGTTAATGTTGTCGATTATGATTGAAGTTAAACTCAATGTTGCACTTGCACATGTTTGCTTCTACGTCTTGTTTTATAGACGGTAGCTGCAAAAGTTAGCTAATGTATGTATTTTTTCTATCATAAAGAAATACAAAATGCACATTTTTATATTTTTTTTTAAACATTAACATAATTGCAACTATGCAAGTAAGGGAGCACAGATGGGTGCGCTGTCTCATGTGAGGCCATACAAACCTAATTCCATTGGAAAAATGTCCGATTTAACTCTGTGTTGCTGTCAGTTAACAATGTTTGTTGCACAGGATTTGCTGTCTTGGTTCAGTGTTGTTGGTTATTTATTTATTTATTTATTTTTCCTTTATTTAACCAGGTAGGTTAATTGAGAACAGATTCTCATTTACAATAACGACCTGGCCAAGAGGCAGCACAGAGCAGAAAATACAATACATCCACAAAAAACAATACACAAACGAAATGTAATAATAAAAGCCTTTGAAGATAAAATACACTAAAAGCAGGTACAGGACTCGGTAAATAGTTGCTTCACCATATTTTTAAAAGAAGATAAAGATATAAATACACTGAGTTTGAGTGTTTTTTGTAAGTGGTTCCAGTCGAGGGCTACAGAAAACTGAAATGAATAGCGGCCAAAGACAGTTAGTAAGTCTGGAAGCCCTAACTCTGACCCTAACCCCATTAAATAATGGATTAATTGGTGGGTTGTGGACAAAACGATGCGTTTGTCACTTTGGTCTTTTTGGAAACACTTGATTTACTGATTTAAGAGGCTAAACAAGCGACTGATTAATTGAGTAAATGATAAACAGATGAATCGTCAGTGAAAATAATTGTTTTCATCATGGTGGCAGCAGTTCGATGCTGAAGTGCAACACCAGCACGTTAGCAGTGACGTAACCATTTAGCACAACACACCCTCAGTCTTGCTGTTGAACTGTTTTGTGATGTGAAATTAACCACGACAGCACTCCTTAAGAGTGTTAAATGAAACAACAAATAGACTATAGAGGCTTCATTAATAAACTATTACATAAGCCACAGCATTTTTCATTGTGGTTTTGAAGTAGCATACTCCCTTTGACTAAAATAAGCAAATTAACCAAGGAGTCTTTGTCTCTGCAGGATCTGTCCTACAAGGAGCGCCACTGGCACGGCGAGTGCTTCCTCTGCATTAAGTGCAGCCGGTCTCTGGTCGATCGGCCCTTTGCCACCAAGGATGAACTGCCGATGTGCACCGAGTGCTACAGCAACGAGTATTCTGCCAAGTGCCATTCATGTCTGAAGACCATCATGCCAGGTTAGAAGTCTGGATCTTGGTTTGTACACTAACAACGCCACCATTAAATCAATTTATAGGTGATTTGAATAATGCAAATATGTGCATATTTGCTATAAAATCGACAAAAAAACACCAAAAATTAAAGGTCCAGTATGTGCAGTTGAACTATGAATCGCATAAAACACAAGTCAAGTGAAATAAAACGGCTTTAATTTCTGCAGGAAAACGTGAGAATCGATGACTTAAAAACATAATGAGTTATGTGAGTTGGAATGACTCAGCGGTGCATCAGCACCATATGGATGGTGCGCTGACATGCAGGTTAAACTGAAAAACTGACATTCTCGCCGTCTCTTCCCCCGCCCACCAGGCTCTAAAAAGATGGAGCACAAGGGCAGCAGTTGGCACGAGAATTGCTTCACCTGCAACCGTTGCCAGCAGCCCATCGGCACCAGGAGCTTCATCCAGAAGGACGCCAGCAACTACTGCCTGCCCTGCTATGAGAAGCAGTTTGCTCTGAAGTGCAGCCACTGCAAGAAGGTGAAACAACACAGAAATCAATAAGCCTCTGCAAATGCAACAGAGAAGCTTAACACACAAAGTGGTCGGATGCTCGTATTGATGTTTTCGACAGCAGCACAGATTCATTAAATGGGAATATTCTGTCTTGTGCATCATTTTAGATACGTTATGCTATCAAGGGGCTTCGTTAGACGTGATTTGTTTTTTGCTTATTTGACCTGAAAGTCGGTCAATATCCTGCAAATGCAATGGACAGAAATGCAGTGAAGGAAAGAGACTTGCATGTAGTGCAGACGACAGTTATGGGGAGGAAACAGATGGTCGCGCAGGCAGGAATCGGAGGCGTCTTTTTGTGCTAAAAGCTGGTAGGTGAGACAGCAGTCATCTGGCTCGCCTGTGACTAAGTCAGCAACAAATGGCTAAATGACTGAAAGATATGAAGCTCCACTGTCACACAAAAGCAGTGATGCTGAACGGTGAAGTTCAGAAGGGTTTTAGGAAAGCTTTTAACTGAACCGTGCAACATTAATACGTGTGGTAAAACCCTAATTCATTCCTGGACTCCTGAGTGCACAGATATCTACATTCAAAATGCACTCTTGTTTCTTCTGCACCTTTCTTGACCATTTGCATCAAAGTGCTAGTCTAATAAATGAATCATAAATTAAATACACAAAAATGTGTGTTTTAAAGGTCGTTTAAGCCCATGCAATCAGGTGAAATCCACTAAAGTCAGAAACTACTCTGCTATGCTGAAGAAGTTAGTGTTCAGCCACTTAGCTTTGAGAAGCTAACTCGATTTAGTGCTTTCCTTTCCACAGGATAATTGAATCTAGCTTTAGGCTTATTTATGTGGTACAACAAACTCAGTTAGTCTTAAAACTGTAATTTAAAGGCAACTTAAGCACATAAAATCACATGAAATCCGTAGAGTTTGAGGCTACTGAGCGAAACCTGATTAGTTAGCTTCCTAGTTTGAAGAAGCTAGCAAGTTTTGTCACTTTTACTTTGACAGTATTATTTAACTTAGCATTTTGATTATTCATGTGGTACAACAAACTCAGAATTAAATCTGTAATTTAAAGGCTGTAAACCTAAAAAAAAAATCACACAAAATCCACAACAGTCACAGGGTACACTGCTTAGCTGGAATAGCTAGCTGTTAGCTTGAAGAAGCTAATAAGTTGTGTCACTTTTATTTCCACGGTATAATGTAATTCTGCTTTTTAGCATTTATGTGATAAAACAAAGTCTGCATAAAAAAGTAATTGAAAGGCAGCGTAACCACAAAAAAGTGACATAAAATCCACTACCGCCAGAAGCTGTACTACTTTAGGGTACATAATGTTTAGCTAGTAAGCTTTAAGACGTTTTGCTACCTCTCTGTTCATAGTAACTTGGCTTTTAGCTTTTTAGATATTGAAGCATCAAAACTGTAATTTAAAGAACGCTTACAAACATACACATAAAGTCTAATGGAAGATAATATCCAATTCTGTTCTGTAATTTAGGCTAGTTAGCATTTAGCTAGCTAGCTTTTAGATGGCCTAGTTAGTTTTTTTACTTTAACAGTATGATTTATTTATTTAGCGTTTGGCTTAATTATGTGGTCCACCAAAGTTAAGCAGCAAGAAACATATATTTTAAAGGCAGCTTAATCACATAAAATCTGCTAGTCAGAGACGAATCTTAGAATTTAGGATGGCTATCCAGCTTTACGAGGCTAATTTTATTTGCTAATTAAATAGCATTAAATCTACTATAGTCAAAGGCTGTGCAAATTTAAACTCAGAACATCAAAACTACAGTTGACGGGCATTTGAATCAGATAAAATCAAACACTACTCAGAGGCTACGATGCTCGTTTAGGCTAATTAGCTCTATTTAGTTCCTTTTTGTAAGTAGGTAGATGTGCTAATAGCATTCCTGTAAAAATAGTATTAAAATAGCAGCAAGCCCTCACATTTGACGAGCTGTAATAATGAAATGTTGGAGCTCTACTTGTAATTGTACGGTGGATTTATTTATAACAAAGCTCTTCATATGCTTGTGTGCAACAAGCTTAATTATGAGTAACTTGAAAGTAACTAGTATAGTGAAAGTATATCACCTGAGTGGACGCACTTAGTTACAATCTTTCACTGTTTTTATTACGTCAGTTCAATATTTTCTGTTTGATACGTTTTTATTTTAAATCTTTTGACATATGAACTCGTATCATTTCAGCCGATCATCTACGGAGGGGTGAACTACCGCGACCAGCCCTGGCACAAGGAGTGCTTCGTCTGCATTGGATGTAAGCAGCAGCTGGCCGGCCAGCGGTTCACCTCCCGGGACGACTTTGCCTACTGCCTCGCTTGTTTCTGCAACCTGTTTGCCAAGAAGTGTGCTTACTGCACCACCCCCATCAGCGGTAAAGTCAGAAGCAATGCCCTCACAAAACGTACATTATTCTCTGTCTGGGTGGGTACTTTTTGATTGCAGTTATTCAGTTCAGTCAGTTAATGGACACTTTCAGTCTGATAAATCGTCACAGTTTAGTTTTTTAATACGATTATGTTTAAATAAAGTATTAGGTGACTGAATTTAGCTGTGATGTCAGGTTGGCTGACTTTTCACTGAAAATTCTTGGACTTATCTCGTCCAAATCTACAAATCCTGAGGCCGGGCATGCTGCGTTTCACCTCATTATACATCTCTGAACGACTGCCAATGGCCTGGATTCATTCAGAGATCCAGTCAGAGCTCAGTTCAAAACCCAGCAAGTACCAAAAGTACAATTTCAAAGCTGCTTAACACATAAAGTCACATGAAGTCCACCAGTGTCAGGGACTACCCTGCCAAGATAGATTAGTTAGCTTTTTGCTTTAAGAAACAAGCTATTTTTATTATTTTTCTTTGCCCGGTATTATTTAATAAATTGGCCTTTGGTCTGTTCATGTGATACAACAAATTCATTCAGATACTGAATTATGCTTTTAAACCAAATGAAATCCACTCTGTATTATAGGCTTGTTACTGTTTAGCTAGTTAGCTAGTTAGATGGACCAGTTTTGTTGCTTTTACAGTATAATTTAATCATTTAGCGTTTGGCTTGTTTCCACTCAGGTAGCATGAAAGGTATAATGTAAAGGCAGCTTCACCACATGAGGTCTGCTAGTCAGAGGCTACTCGCTTCATTAAGGCTACCTAGTTAGCTAGTTCATTTCATCTTGATTTTCTTTCCACAGTTTAATTCAATAATTGAACTCTTGTCTTATGTATGTGGTACAACAAAATCAGATAGCATTAAAAATGTAAATTTAATGCAGCTTAAACTCATAAAATCACACGAAATCCACTACAGTCAAAGGCTAGTCTGCTAGGCTTGATTAGTTAGCTTATAGCTTTAAGAAGCTAACTATTTTTGTACTTTTCCTTGACCCATAAAATGTAGTAATTTGGATTTTTTCCTATTTATATGGTACAGCAAACTCAGATATTGAAGTATTAAAGGAAGCTTAACTACATTAATCCAAATGAATCCACTCATTAGACGCTAGTCTGTAATTTAGGATAGTTAGCATTTAGCTAGTTAGCATTTAGATAGTACAGTTTTGTTTCTTTAACAATATAATTTAATTATCTAACTTAGGGCTTATTGATGTGATACACTGAGCTCAGGCTGCATTAAAAGTATAATTTAAAGGTAACTTCGTCACATTTAAACGCATGAAATCTGCTTATCAGAGGCTCCACTGCCAATTTAGGCTTCCTAGTTAGCTAGTTTGCTTCAAGGGGCGCATTAGATTGGCTGCTTTTCCTTCCACAGGCTACTCTTTCACTGCCAGATACTGAATTATACTTCTAGGCGTGAGTTTGTGACCCAGTACATGCAACTTTTAATGAGGGCCAGCAGGCAACTTCAAGACGATTTGAGTCTTGATGAGAAAGCAAAGAACTGTCGAATGTTCCTGCTTTTAACCACGGGAGCCTCTTTGATAAGAGATTATTGCTAAAACAGTTTCATGTGATCATTTTTTTTGAGCATCAAATGCTGAATAAGACACAGTACCAGCAGCGCTGTAACATGAAATTAGGGCAGATCTAAACTTCAAGTGATCTTCAGCGTCGACTGAGGGTTCTACAGATCAGATGTTTCCCTGTGAGTCCCGTGTGGATCCAATCAGCATCAATTACGGGGTAATTGAATTACAGACATCATGAGACTCCTCTGTGCTGCATGTGTCGCAGGTCTCGGGGGCAGCAAGTACATCTCGTTCGAGCAGCGCCAGTGGCACAACGACTGCTTCAACTGCAAAAGGTGCTGCATTTCCCTGGTGGGCCGAGGTTTCCTGACCAGCGACGACGACATCCTCTGCCCCGACTGCGGCAAAGACATGTGAGCAAGCTTCCCCCCCGGAGAGCAGAGCAGCAGCCTCCTCGTGCTGCAACATCTGTATGATCGATCAGTGTCTCACACATTAATCTACTTCTGCTGCCAAAGGTGTTGTCTGCATGCGCTGATGATTCTGTGTTTTACATGAATGAGCCGAAGCCTTCATTCCACCATGTGTTTTAGTTTCTTTGCTGTCCATCTTTCCTGTGAAGAATTCATACAAACTGTACACCTGATTTTGGAATGAAGGTATATGTGGCATCAAAATAAATGTTTCTGACGGATATTTTAGAGCAAATAAAGCATGTAAAGTTGATTTAATATATGTCATTATGACCTGATTGTTACTACTAATATTGTTTGTTCTAATTACATCATTTGTGTTTATAAAACCCAAATCTAATATACAAAATAAAGATTTTAAAAATGAAGCAGATGTTATTCTTTGTGAACTAATATGTGAAAAACAAAAAATTAGGTCAGTGTAACCTGATAAAATCACTTAACGTTTGCTACCCAAACGCCACGATGGTAATTTTAGACCTCACTTTAAAATAAGTTAGCTTTCAGCTAGTTTGCTTTTGGAGGACAAGTTTTAGTTTCTTTCTACCACAAATGAAATAATTAATAGTAAATTAGTCATTTTTTCATTCGTGGTGTGACAAAGTCAGGCGCTGGAGCAATAAAACAAATATGGAAAACTGGTGAAATTGGGTTTTGCTAGTTCTGTTTTTCCATTTATAACTCGCTGGAGTCTGCACTTTGTTTCTATTTCTCAAAAATTACATTTTAGTGGTATCCTTTTGTTCATGGCGGTGGCGGAGGAAGTATTTATCTGAGCATGTGTTGATTATCCTGTGTTTTATATAAATAAGCTGAAGCCTTCATTCCACAGTAAGATGTTTTATTTTTTTCAATATGTTTAACTGAAGCATCACAACTTTCCAGCTATAATGTGAAGAATCTTTCTAACCAGACGAACTGTACACCTCATTTTGGAATGAAAGTATGTGTGGCATCAAAATAAATGTTTCTGACGGATATTTTAGAGCATATAGAAGCATGTAAAGTTGGTTTAATATATGTCATTGTGACCTGATTGTTACGACTAATGCTGTATCTTCTAATTTGTGTTTAATATAATCTGGATCTGACATGCAAAATAAAGATTTTTTGACTTGATGGATGCTTCGGTTACTTAAAAGAAGATATTTGGAGGGTGGAGGGTCATCACAAGACACGTATTGCTTTTGTTTGAGGTGCAGCTATTTATGTCAAACTTATTGCAACTAACAACACTTTCCAATACGAATTCATCTGTTTTTTTATATATATATTATTTTCTAGACCTCTGAAACACAATATTTCTTAGTTTGCTGTTTAAATTTAGGGGTTAAGACACGGCTGTGTTGTTTATAGTGTGAATAATTTGCCAGAGTAATTTAAATATTAAGGGTTCAAACTGGACAGCAATCATAAAACAATACAACTTTTTGAGAATTTTAAATATTAAAGCAATGAGTGGACAGTAATATTATTTATTGAGACCAAACTGACCATTTTAAGTAATATAGCTAAGGCCTGACAGTATTATTAATTAACCTAACTACTTCAAATATTAAGACTAGAAAATTTGAATTAATTATGGGAATTAATGTGACAGATTTTTATTTTTTATATCTAAGACCCGAGAGCACTATGTGTATTTATGTGTTATTATTTTGTTTTATTTTACTCTTATTATATAACGTAAAAAAACAGAGGTGCAGCTCGTAAAAGTTTTTTTTAATAGATTAAACTTTTTTAAATTGTTATTATTCACTTTGCTTCCATGAAAATCTGCAAATGCTCATTTTTCGAAATGCCAAAGATCGTCTCTTCGTGTCTTCACCGCATGAACGTAACAAAGAGCTCTCACTCCATCTCATTTCGAGATCCGCTCTGTGAGTGACCGTGTGGTTGAGCGACGTTTCTCCGCGTCGGGACTCTGTCGTAAAATACACGATCTTCGGCAGCGGAAAGGGGCAGCAGGTGCAGCAGGAAGTAACCGCGTCCAGCCCAGCCTTGAATAAGAAGAAGCTAACGCCGTTTAACTGCACCAACCCGCTGCACAAAACCAAGAAAGTAAAAGTCACAGGTAACGTAAGATGTGATTCTTGTTTTCTGCGTGTAGTTTTGTTAGCTGCTCACTAAAAACTAAAAACCCACCGCTGTTGTAGCGCCAATGATGGTTAGCGCCGGGATGCTACTTGCGGCAGCTAGCTAGGTTAGCTAGCTTAATTAGCAAGGCTTTGTTAGCCACATTGCTAAATTCATACTAAAGCATGGAAAACTCTAGAAAAAGATGCCTGCAGTGTGTTTCTGGTTAGTGTTTACCTTCATGTGGAGCTAAAACGTGATGTGTAAAGTCCAACTTTCATTTTACGCCACTTTATGTAATATGTTTGCTGCTATACCTTCTTTTATGGATGCTATTCGCAGGAGTTAGCTAATATACTTTGTTTTATGTCACAAATAAATGCACAGTATTTGATTTAAGTCAGTTTTAATTATGTTGATGGTATCACAATTGCTTCTGTGCGGTCATTGGAGCACTGCGTCTCACATGAGGTCACACAAACCAAATTATGCCGGAAAAATGGCCAATTTAAGATGGTGTGGCTGTCAGATAATAATAATAATAATATTGCATTATTAGTAAAATGTGATTTGCAGTCTTAACTAATGGTTTGTGTTAGATTGGGACACATACTGTCTACTTGTCAGTAAATCACTGTAGGAAAATCTTACTGTGTTTTAAAGGTTTTTGGCTGCTGTGCCAGACAATCTATTTCAAAATCCGAACGGTGAGTTGAAACAATGCAATTAGCAAATTGCAAAAGCTGCAAACAAGGATCAATGTGCATTGATTGTATAATGTGCACTTACTTAGATGCTGCCCGTCTGCATAAGTGAATGAGTGACGCGTTTCAGTGTCAGAGATTGTTTACAGAAGGTCCTATTATTGTATTTTTTTGCAAATATTACTTTATTTTACACAGTTACAGGTTTGGCGATAATTGTCAGTTTAAAAATGTAATAAATGCATATTTGAAGCAATGTGTGTCCTCAACCTGTCATCCTTGCATTAGAGTATAGATCAGGGAATATTTTGTTTGAGTTTAATGTGATAATGAGCCATCACATGTTTTAATCGCAGTATCTGTCAGAAATATCTCAATAGCTAATTCACCAAAATGTTAAGCCCTAATGTGTTTGATGTGTTCTGATTGCTGCCACTTGAGGCCTTCAGTCTTATTTCATGTTTGCTAACTTGTGACACTGAACACATGATAGATTTTCATTCGCTGTAGTTTTATCTGTCAAATTCTGCTGATGATATGAGCATCTGTTTTATTTCGCTGCCCTGTGAAGCACTTTGTAACCCAGATTCTGAAAAGCGCCATTTAAATTCTGATTATTAATATCATAAAATATTCCCTTTTCTCATCAGATTGTCTCGTGTCTTGAGCTGAAATGAGTGCTGCTGTACCCAACCATAGAAGGACCAAGCCCGGCGGTAAGACTCAATTAAACTGAAGGAAACATTTACATTACAAGTGTCTCAAATAAATCCAAAACGTTTTTCCGGCTCCATCACCTGTAGCGCATTTTCAGCCTTTCGTGTTGCGTGGAAAACCTTGAAGCGCTACTTTAAGCTTCCAAATGGAGCCACACTGTGAAGCAAAGCAGATGTAAATGTCAGTTCATTGCAGGAATAAAGCCCGGGGCTGCCAACAGCGGCGTGACTGGACCGACCTCCCAGATCCCCGGTTTGTCCCAGAGCGCCGACGAAACCTCTCCAGTGGAGAGGATCAGCGGACGGCGAGTTGGGATATTCGAGACGGACTCGGAGTACGTCAAGCTCGCTAAGGGAGGGGGACATAAAGGTAAACCTGCCAACCACCAGCTTGCTGCTGCTCTCAGTGTAGAAACTTTGAAACAACAGCACAAGTCATTACATCTTGAACATTTAAAAAGTCCCAGCTGATTTGTTTGATGTAGACACACACGGCTCAAACTCTTTGAAATGCAAATCTCGAACAAGTGGCCTACAGGTCCACAGCATGAAAGAAAGACTCCAAAAAGAGTGTCTCTCTTTTTTTTTTTTTAGAATACATTTTGGGAAAACCTAGCAGCCTCCTTTGTTTATTGAGACTGCATATTTGCAAACTTGAGTTATCTGGGGACAATAAGGCCTCATGTACTGAAAAATTCCACTTTGAATTCCATTTATGCATTTCATGCTGATCGGCATGTGTAGATTTTGATATGAAACATCTGTAAATGTCAGTTACGTTCCTTGTTTTGTGCTTTTTAGCTCCTGTCGTTGTGCACATACATGAGAATAGAATAGAATAGGATAGAATAGAATAGAATAGAATAGAATAGAATAGAATAGAAAAATACTTTATTTATCCCAGTCTGGGAAATTACTGCGGTACAGCAGCAAGAGAGAAACACCAATCACAACAGAAAAAGAGCTAAAGTTAAATACTATTTAAAAAATTAAAAATAAAAACAAGTGAATAAAATAAATAAAACAACTGTACAAAATGTGCAAATTGACACACATGCGTGAGACTCATTAGTTTCCCCAAACTGTTTTCGTAGTTATTGCGATTATTTTGACAGATATTGCAATAAATCCCAAGAGTCTCGTGCGTGTTACTTTTGTTTTCCACTGAAAAGGTGCAACAATGATGAAAAGCTGATAAATTAATTTCTGTACCAAACGAGCGTGTTCTCTTACGTCTGGATAATATCTTAAGGTCATGGCATCGCGATAGCGCTGCACTGCTGAATTTACACAAGATCTGTAGTAACACAGTTTACTTTGGAGCTCCTTTGATTTGAGTAGTACGCTTTAGCAAATCCGATAATATTCTCATTAATTATTTAGCCCTAATAGCAAAATCACTGCTCTTGTGACAATGCAACACCAGACTCCATTGGGAAAATGTTTAATTTATGACTGTACCACGTTAAGTTGGCAGCAGACGTCTTGTTTGACATGATTTGCTGCCTTTTATTAACGCTTTTGCTCTCTTGGTAAGTTTGACACACATGCTATTCAATTAGCCATAAAAAACAACAAAAATTGTGCTTTCACTTCACTGCTCCTCTTTGTCCAACATAAAAAAGCAGCTGCAGAGTGATTTTTGTTTCCTAAACTGAAAAGTTCAGGGCCGACTTCTGCATTATGTTCCAAATGGATAAGGATTTGTTTTTCTAATCACTGCAGTGGTAGCAATGAAGCAGAATGGGGGGAGTTGGGATTAGGCTGCCTAAAAGGCAGATTTCCAGACTCAGCTTGTAGCTGAGTAATTGTTTAGGCGCTGGGCTGAATAGGCTGCGAGTTAAATGCCACATTGTGCTATTAAAGGTGAGACAGAATGCTTCATAATTGCTGCCAGCGCTTTTGTTTCAGTTTGAATATTGTGTCCCCTCCTGCAGGGCTGTTGAGTCATGATGCTGATTCCGAGGACCAACCGAAGAAAGCCTACAATCCACCCAACTGGTTTGGAGGTGATGAGTCAAAGAGGTGAGAACGCTGTTTAGACGCTCAGACAAGACGCCCGAACACAATAAAGATGCATCACCACATGTTGAGATGATGACTTTGTGTGCAAATCAGAACTCTGAGTAGCACATTTTTCACCGGGGGGCCTATTTTTAAATTATATTTCCTGTTTCTGAGCGGAAACCTTTAATAGTGTGAGTGCAGAGGAGAGTAAGTAGCTCTAAACAAATACGACACTGAAATCTGCCCTGGGTTTGGTTCTGAGGACAGTCACAGGTCGACCACTGCATTTTTAAGACACATTTCTAAATGCTTGTTGAGCCTCCTGAGCATCAGCTGCAGCTTTAGCGAACCGTACGGCTGAGCACTAATTTCACATGGCATGTCACCGTGGTTTTGTGCTTACAGCGGCAGCAAAGCATCGTCTCCCGACAACGAGGTGAAGGCGGGCCGGCAGCCTCTGGCTGCACCGTTTGGCACTGATAACGGTTCGTCCTGGGAAAGAGAGACTGATAGATTTACCCAGGGTAAAGATAAGGTGAATGGACCGAACTAGTCACCCCCAACATGAACGCCATGACGATGTCTTCCATCTTTAATTTAATTTGTTTATTCCATTGCTACCATCATTTTCCCTATTTTTTTTTCACCTGATTTCGCTCCATCGTCGCATTTGCAGTTTGGTTAGAATCCGTTTTGGTTCATATTTCTGCCGGTGCTGTAAACATTTTCCTGCAAGTATTGAAAAAAGTTCTGTTAAGTACAGAAGTGGCGCTTTGACAGGACGCGATCGCAACGTGCAAAGTTGTACGAGGAAAAAGATTCAAATGAATGGATCCTTTGTGTATTTTAACCCTCTGAGCTCCAGGATTTTTCTTATCAGTTCTGACCCTGTTACATTTTTTCTCACTGCAAAATGAAGTTCTTGACCTCTTTGGAAGTAGAGACAATTCAAAAATGTCCATAATAACGTTATGTTAATGCGATATCACCGTTTACAGCTCAAATTTTCCCAATCGATTCCAGATGGTTGTTTCAAAAAATTGTTGGTGAATTAAAAATCTGTCAATTTATTCTGTTCTTCCAGTTTCTGGCTCTGATTAATGGTTTCATTTTGGGTGTTTTTTCCAAAGTCGAGATGCTTTTCATATCTTCTGGTGGATTTTGGGGTTCGGAGGGTTAGCTTGGTTAGCTTAGCTGTAAGATTAGTTACAAATATTGTGAAATTTGCATCTAAAAACGTTCCCTTTTTGCATAAAGAACATGCCGAGGAAGTACGAGCCACATGTCGGGTTCAAACAGTTGTTGTTTTGTTTGTGGTTGCTGCCTTTTGGTTTGGAGCCGGTTTCCTTCACGCCAGTTTCTTGAATCATTTTCCATTGCATGACTAATTTCACCTGAAGTTTTTCTCCCCTCATTTCATCCTTCTGCTCCCCAGATCGAGTGGGTTTGTGTGCATTTGTGAATGACGTGCTGTACTTTTGCAGTATGAAAGTCAGAAACACCCACCTTCACCTGTCTGTATTTGTTCAATGATGATGATAAACGTGAGTCTGGATAACGTCTCCGTCCTGCAGATGTCTCCGGATGGAGCCGTTGGTCAGATGGAGGGTCTGTCCTTAACCAACAAATACAAGAGAACGTAAGTTTTGGTTGTGTTGATCCCTAAATTAAAGCAGAATTCATGTATAAGAAGGGTTTTGTGATGCCTGTTTAGAGTTTAACTCCTGCTGTCTCTTCAGATCTTACGATAAGAAAGCTCCGCCGGTCAGCATGTCCAAGCTGCTGAGTCACGGATACGTGGAGGAAAAGAAGAAGTCTCCCAATGACGACGACACCTCAAGTAAGAATCTATACGGCAGAATTAATGGTAGATTTGTCAGTGCAGCACATATTTACAGGTTTAATATTGGTTAGATAGGAAAACCCCCCTCGTACAAGGATCTAACGCAGTTCTAACGACTAATTCCTGGTTTAAAAAAAGGTGTTTTTTGTGCGACTCCTCGTCTTCCTGAGGAACCAAAAGCTTTTTCCCTGATCACATACACAAATTACACCCGTTTTATTTTCCTTTGAAGTCTGTTAAATCATTCAAGTGTCTAAAAGTTTAGTGTCCTGAGACAAATGCTGCTTCGTTTGATGACAAAAACAAGACGAATCTTACCACGTTTTTGCTCGTTGCCATTAATAAAAGGTGTATATGTCCATATTTAGGCTTTTCCACCTTGATAACACTTAAAAATGTGCATTTTCACACAATGTTTTAGAGGATTCATGAAGGTTTGGATGGAAAAATGATCAGAAACATTCATTAGTTGTAAAATTAGTTGAAAAATGTTCATCACAAGTTCCTTGAAACCCAAAAATATTCAGTTTACAGTGAAGTAAAGCAGAGAAAAGCTGCAAACGTGACACTGAACAATGTCAGAAAACTAACCAGTGCTATAATATGGATGTAAAAATGTGCATTTATGTCCATATTTATGCTCAAATAAACACTTAAGATCAGTTTCAGAGGATCATTCCACCTCGGTGAGAGTGAAAATCCACATTTTCAGGCATGAACATTCACTCTCACGTCGTGTTTTAGAGCATTAGTGTAAAAGTTTGCATTTAGTTGCTGGAAAACTGAATCAGAAACCAAAAAAAAGTTCATCAGAGGTTCCTTAAAACCCACAGATATGGTAAAATGGCCAAATCTAAGCTTAAACGTCTGATGAGTAGTTATACATTAAAAACAGGATTTCTTCCATTTTAACCATTCTTAAAGTCTCTAAATATCACAGCAGCGAATGTGAAACTAATGCTGAGAAAACGTTTTAGATTAAATTGGTTATAACTCGTGTGAAGTCTTCAGATGTTTTCAGTTTGCTGTGAGGATATTTCGAGGCCTTTTTCTGCTTCAGGTGTTTGACTTCTGTCGCGTTTTCCAGGTGTGACCTCAGAACAGACCAGCACCATCGGGACGGAGGACGTGGACGACCTGGAGTAGAACTCGCGGTTCTCGTCTGGAGGGAACGAGGGGTCCTCTAGCTCCGGTTCATGGTGTCACAAGTCCACGAACACGCCCCTCTCGGATTCACTCGCATTTACTGTACATCCACTGACTGTTAGGTTTTGTACTCATGTTTATGCAAAGGTACCGTCCTCTCTATTTATTTTTGCTTCGATTTGTAAAAAACACGGATTTAGTTCTCCGGTAGACGTGTCGCGGTATTTTTCATTTCTGTGTTTTCTCGATTTGAAAGACAAGTCGTGTGCAGGGCTGGAAACTAACAAGAAACAACAAGAGGCCGGTTGGATTTTTATTTTCCGCGTTCGGCTGCTGTTAGTTTCCCTCCCTGGTTGTATGAAGATCGAGTTTGTGAAGTTTTAAAGTGTTCGTGCTAATCAATTGTGGTTCCAGTGACGTGAAATATTATTCTGTTTCGACCAAGGGCTCCTGCTGTCTGAAGGGATGTTGGAGGTTCGTGTGTTTTCAGCTGCGGGGGGCGAACGCGACCAAATGATTCGATGAAACAAAGGGGCCAAAATATGACGTTTAGCTCGCTGCTCTGCAAAAGGTTGCTTCATTCCACGATCCCACCTCAAACAGAGGCTCTAAAATCGAGAAACCTGCAGCTGTGGTGTTTTTTGTTTTAAAATCTGTGAGCTGCTTTTAAGTTAAATGGATTCTACGTGTAACTCAAATCAGAACAACAAACAAATCGAGTCAAATAAGTGGCATATCTTGTGTTCAAGTGCAACGGTGCCAAGAAGCTTCTGAATTTGTCGAAACCCGTCAGTGTTCCAGCCAAACAACACAAATCTCACGTAGCAACACCTCAAGCGTTCGGTTTCCTTCTGCAGGACGACGAGCTCAAATCCAACTCCGCCGCAATTCCCTGTGAAGATAAAGGCAGACGAGTTTAAGATAACAAAAAAAAAAACGTGAGTTCTGAACATGCCAACCAAGCAGCTTTTCCCTGCTCGCGCAGTGTTTTCGACTTTGTAGTCATCAGTAGGAGAAGTTAGTGTTAGTGCACAGCCTGGTCACGCCGAAGCCTCCATCTCATGTGTTCGTGGACGTGATGGGACGTTTAGCCCACATAGATGAGAGACACTGTTACCGCTGCAGCATTTTTGGCACAAAACGCTTCGAATCATGTTCGCTAAAGTTATAAAATAGTCTTTAAAAAAATCAAGAATATTCTGTTGTCGCTAATAACGCATGTTGACACTGTAAAAATGTGACTTTTTGTCATATATTAGATGACAGCTAGAACCTGAATCATGAGTTTAGGAGCTGAATACATTCCAGTCAAGCCCTAAATTATTCATACCTGGACTAAATTTTGATTTAAAGCTCTTTTTTTTAATTTGACAAATTGGTTTCTTGTGACTGGGCTGCAGGGTGGCGCAGTTGGTAGCACTGTTGCCTCGCAGCAAGAAGGTTGCCGGTTCGCATCCCGGTGGGGGCACCGGAATCTTTCTGCGTGGAGTTTGCATGTTCTCCCCGTGCAGCGTGGGTTCTCTCCGGGTTCTCCGGCTTCCTCCCACAAGGTCCAAAAACATGTTGAGGTTAATTGATGATTCTAAATTGTCCGTAGGTGTGAATGTGAGTGTGCTTGGTTGTCTGTCTCTAAGTGTGGCCCTGCGATGAACTGGCGACCTGTCCCCTGGGTGTCCCCTGCCTTCACCCTAAGTCGGCTGGGATAGACTCCAGCCCCCCCGCGACCCTAATGAGGATTAAGCGGTGTATAGAAAATGGATGGATGGTTTCTTGTGGCTGGAAGCGACACAAACACGTAACAAAAGACTGTAAGATATCGAAATGCTAATGCTGAGTTTGAACTATTTGTAAGCTGCTTTTTACATTTCTGCTGAAAAGATCACGCACAAAATGATTCACGTTCTTTCAAACTGAGCGACTAGAGAACGATTGCATAAACTATCCTGTACTGGAACGCTCTAGAGCAGGGGTGCCCAATCCTGGTCCTGGAGGGCCCCTATCCTGCATGTTTTAGATGTTTCCTTCTTCCAACACACCTGATTCAAATGATCAGCTCATCATCAAGCTCTGTAGAAGCCTGATAACGATCCTGATCATTTGAATCAGGTGTGTTGGAAGAAGGGAACATCTAAAACATGCTGGATAGGGGCTCTGGAGGACCAGGATTGGACACCCCTGCTCTAGAACATGCTAGAAACCCCACAGAAGCTGCGTTTTCTTAAATATTTACACCAATTTGACGAATTTTGTGCATTTTTCTTTGAGTAAAAATGTTGTAAAAATGCAGAAATAGTTCAAATTCAGTGTTAGCTTCTCCATCTGAACAGTCTTTTCTCACCTGTTTGCATCATTTCCAGCCTGAAGAAACCGTAAAATACAGATTTAAATCAAAATGTGGCTCCACTATGAATCGGTTTGGGCTTAGCTGTGGATGACATGAGTTGCTCCCAAACAACAGCAGACAATGAAAATGGCTGTTTGACTGTCAGGATAAGGTTAAAAAAAATCATTTAAAAAAAAAAGTTCCCTGTGACATTTGATGGGCAGTTCAGCCTTGAGTCATTTAATAGTTTTAATTTTTCCGAGCCGCCACTGTGACAGCGAAATCCTAATCCTGCCGGGACGTTTGTCGGCGAGGAATTGCTCCTGAAATGAAAAAAAAAAAAAGAAAAGCGTCGCAGTGATGTGTTTGTCCTAATAAATCCAATAAAATGCTGCAGCGGTGACAGACTCTCATTTGAAAACTCTTACAAGAGATGTGTCATGTTCAACACGGCTGTCTGTCTGGTTTCGAGGCTTTTTTTAAAATTTTCTTTTCCTACACGATATATTTAAACAGTGATGCATAATTTATCTGTACGTGGTATAAAAAAAAAAAGGTGTCGAGTGTTGTTCCCTAAGCTTTGGTGACACTTTTTTTTATTTTTTTTATTATTTTGCAGTACAAGGAATGGCGAATGTATCATCTTTAGGTATTGTTTGCTTCGAAAAACGGGTTTATTTTTATGAACTGTTCAGTATTCAGGTGCAGTATTCACAGTTTGAAAAGACTGTGTTTTTCCTCCGCTCCGTGTGAGTCGGTGGCGGTTTACAAACCAGTAGTGGGAACCTTTAGTGGCTTAACTTTGCAAAGTTCTCCCCCAAAAATCTTGTCACTTGTCTCGCTTTCTTTTGTCTTTTTATTTTCCTTCTTCTTATCTGCAAGTGTTTATTTACGATGCAAATGTACCAGTGGAGACTGAAGAAGGCAGCTGTTCTACAGAAGATCCCTCAAGTGTTTGTAGAGGCGAGAAATCCACCTGACACAGCTCAATGTGAGACCCTGCTTATCTTGATGACTGCACACAGACTCTTAGTTGTCATTTAAATAAATGGGCATGTGCATGTACCGGTGTGCTGTTGTTTTTTTTTCCTGACGTTTGTAGGAGAGAAATTGCAATTGTGTGACTCTAAATGAGCTTTTGTTGCTTCCTAATACTCAAACTAAATGAATTTATGTTGAAAATTGGTTGTCAAAGCAACACGTCTAAGATGTTTTAGAAGGTGGGTAACATTAGGTTTGCAAAAAACAAACGTTTATGTCAAAGTGAAATGGATTTATACCACAGGTGTCCAATCCTGGTCCTGGAGGGCCACAATCCTGCATGTTTTAGATGTTTCCCTTCTTCCAACACACCTGATTCTAATGATCAGGATCGTTATCAGGCTTCTACAGAGCTTGATGACGATCATTTGAATCAGGTGTGCTGGAAGAAGGAAACATCTAAAACATGCAGGATTCGACACCCCTGATTTATACTAAGGTTAAATAAGAGATTGCGTAAGTACACACTCCTTTTCAAGTTAGTGTTTAGTAGATGTACCTTTGGTAGCAGTTTGCAGCCTTGAGCCTGTGGACAGTTTGACCTCATCCTTTGTAAAACTACTTAAACTCTGTTGCACAAGGATCATGACTGAACGGCCTGTTTCAAGTCCAGCTACAGATTCTCAGTTGGGTTGAGGTCTGGGTTCTGACTCAGCCCCCACAACATTCAGCTTGTTGTCTTTAAAACATTTCTGTGTAGTTTTGGTTGTTTGCTTTGAGTCATTGTCTTGCTGGAAAACAAATCTTATCCCACGTCTCAGTTCTCTTTCAGACCGCATCAGGTTGTCCTACAAGATTTGTTGATACTTTACTTCATTTGTTTTACCCTCTAACTTTACAAGCCTTCCAGGGCCGCTGCTGAGAAGCAACCCTTAGATCATGATGCTACCACCACCGTGCTTCACATCTTGATGCTGCCACCACCGTGCTTCATCATGATGCTGCCACCACCATGCTTCACATCATGATGCTACCACCACCACACTTCCAATCGTGATGCTGCCACCACCATGCTTCACACCATGATGCTGCCACCACCATGCTTGACATCATGATGCTGCCACCACCATGCTTCACCGGGGGGATGGTGCGCATTGTCTGGTGTCCACTAAACATAGTCTAGTCTGATGGACAAAAGGCTCAATTTTGGTCTCAGACAAAATAACTTTCTTCTAGTTGACTTCAGAGTCTCCCACATGCCTTCTGGTGACTCTAGTCCAGATTTAGTCTGAGCTTTTTTTCTTTTTAACAGTTTCTTTTTCTTTGACACTCTCACATAAAGCTTTGACTGGTGAAAAACAGGCAGTACTTGTTGTCTGCAGTCTCTCCTATCTCAGCCACTGAAGCTCCTTCAGAGGACTCATAGGTGTCTTGGTGGCCTCCCTCCTTCCCCTGTTTCTTGCTCGGTCACTTAGTTTTTGAGGTTGACCTGCTCTCGTCAGATTTACACAAGTGCCAATATTCCTTTGATTTCTTTAATGATGGATTTGGCTGTACTCCAAGATGTATTCAGTGACTTGAAAATTCTTTGTACCCTTCAATTGTGCTTTCCAAAAACCTTTTCACAGAGTTGCTTGGAGTGTTCTTTAGTCTTCATGGTGTCGTTCTATCCAGGAGTCCTGATTCACCAGTGACTGGACCTTCCAGATAAAGGTGATTTTACACTACAATCACATAAGAAAGATCCAGGGAAATAATTATATTCCATTATCTAAGTACCAAAATTCTTGAAATAATTATTATCCTCAAGCACCAATAAGTTTCTTTAACAACTGGTTGTTGGTCAAGTCTCTAAAATGTAAATGAAAATAGTAAACAAGCACAAAAAGGGGGTGTCATTATTCAGCGAAGCCAATATTTTAATGTCTTGTTTGATCTGAGCATCTGTTCAAAATGTCAAAAGTCAAAGTGTTTATCGTCGAAACCAGCATTTATATTTGAGAAGCTTGCACCCGACAATTTTCCTTTGATAAATGACCTCCGTGACTAATTAGTTACCAAAATAGCAATTTTCCCTCTGAAATGATGAAACCACCAAGTATAATTGGGGTCAACAGGGACCAAACTAGTTTTTGCCCCGGGGCCTCCCAGAGCTTAATCCAGCCGGTGGTTTTTTGGCAATTTCTCACCAATTTACTGCGAATTATAAATATTTAACCGAACTGTGATGAACATCTTTCAAAGCAGTGCATTATTAAAATGTTTTTCCACCTTTTCTTCACCTCATTTTCTCAACGGCATTGAAATTTTCTTCAAAACTCGATGTAGGTAGATAAAAAAATATATATAAAAATCTCCAGTTATTAATAATTTACAGGTTTATAGTCATGTATCATGCAGGACATTACTTGTTCGAGCTTCTCAGCTGTGAGGATTCTGTTTTTCTTTCTGTTCTATATCACACTAAATTAAAGAGTGTTGAGCCGTTTGACAGCCCGCTGTTAGCAAAACTTAAAAAATATGGTTGGTTTACATACTATAGACGCGATAATTTACTTTTTACATTTTTTTTTTGAATTGTCTTTAAAATACACTTTAACATAGAAACTAAAATGTTCAGCTTAAAAAAAATAATTATTTTTTACCTAATGTGACGTCATAATGTTGATTTGACTCCTAATATTTTTGTTTGTTTGTTTCTATCGTACTAAAATATAAGTAAATAAATACACATTTTGGCAGAAATGGCAAAAAGTTAATTCCTTCAATACACTTTTTTTTTTTTTTAAATGAGCAAACAAACACAAGCTGGAATCTGCAAGTACAACATTTTTCTAAATGCCCTTAGCTGTTGCCAATACTGGAAAACAATGGTGGCGCCACATGGTATGGATATAAAATAAATAAATGTAATAATCAGAAAATTAGTTACTATTTTACCAAAACAAAAATGTGAATCAACATTTATAGCATGTAAGACATGTAAAACATAATATTTAACAAAAAAAAATTAGTGCCAATTTTTACTCAACACGATGTCATTTATTTAACATCAACTTAGTGTAATATTCTTAACAAAAATCGTAAAAGGTAAATTCCTTTGATTTAATATTTTACAAAAAAAAGCTACATGTAGCTTAAACAAATAAATACCATGAAGTCTTAATACTGATTTGATTGTATTATTTTTTTCAAAATAATTTTCAAATTGCAACAACAACAAAATTAAAGCGCAATCTTGGCCGGAATGGTCTTCCACAGACTGGACTTCCATAATTTATACTTTCACTTCATAAACTTTTACTACTAAATTTTCCATTGGGAGTCCCATAACGACCAGTCAGGCCTGCAGCGGTTTGTGTAGCGAGCAGCACATGCACACTTGCACACTTGCACATGCACACGCACGCACGCACGCCGGCCGCTGCAGGCTGCATCGCTCCACTCCAGCGGCTGTTTGCACGGAGGAAACGCTGCTACCGCCGCCGCCGCCGCCGCCGCTGCACGCCTCCTGCAGCTGCACCCGCGACGCATGCAACCGGGCTCCCGTGCATCGGCGGGCTGATCGATATCGGTAAAATCAATCCATAGCCGCATGGTGACGTCACGGCGCTGATAGGTAACGGCGGCTGGGCGGGTTGGTGGGTGGCTGGGTGCCGCGCGGACGCCACGGGTAGATAGATGGGCGCATAGAAGCCCCACACCGGGTGAAAAAAAAAACAAGGAAAGAAAGAAAAGGAGGGAGGGTGAATTTTTTAAAAAACCAAAAAACAGCAGGAGAGACGGAGAGAGGACGTGCGTCTTGTTTGTTTGTTTGTTTATTCGTGACGTGGGCGCGTGGGAAATGTAGTAGCTGCCTGCAGGAGGAGGATGGATGCGTAACAGGACGGATCGAGCCAGCTGTGGCCTGCTTCTAACGGCAACATCTGGCCGGTGAGTCGCGCTGACAGCCGCAGCCGCTTGCAGGGAGGGAGGCAGGGAGGCTCGGTGCGCCGCGCCGCGCTCTCCGGGCTCCGGTCCGGTGAGTCGGTGTGACCTCGTCCTTGGCTGCCGGATGGTGGTGGAGTGATTGATGTTTGACAGACAGGCTGCATGGAGAAGAAGATAAAAAAAAATAATCAGAACGTGACATGCTGGTAAATGTGCAGCTGCAAATGCAATGAGGTAGAAAAAAAAAAAACTATTGCAAGTGAATTTGTGCAGAAATCTGCAGCTCCATGTGAAGGGTTAAATCCCCACTGGAGGGTGAAAACATACAGAAAGCAAAGAAAATCTGATTATTGAGGCTCGTTATGATGCATAAAAAGCCACCTCCATAGGTAGACTGAGCAGTGAGAGGAGAATCAGCCCCTGCAGGGATGTCAGGCAGGTTTAAAAAGCAGCCAGGCTCAGAGCGTGAATCCCTGCAGGATTATTATAGTAAGAAAAACACAATGTGGTCCCTGTAAACTCACACAGTGTAACACAACTCTCAGGCCCCCGGGGGATGTGGCAGCGATTTTCTGCTCGCGGCGCCTCCTCCTCCTCCTCCACCACCACGTCCTGACCGACTTGTAGTCCTTCTGCAGGGTCAGAGAGGGCGCCTGGACGACAGCGTGGAGGCGATGGAGGAGGCCGATGCAGAGGGGGAAGGGCCCATGGCGGTCAGAGAGGGGTCCAGCGGTCACGGCCTTCCGGCGGACTCCAGCACCACCACCACCACCACCACCAACCTCCTGGCTTCTGTCAAAGAGCAGGTAGGAGATGCTGCAGTCACACCCTGGCTGGTGCTTCGTCTTCCACCTTTCCTCCACAGCGTCCACTCCCACCGGTGAATTCACCCACTGTGGGTCTCAGTCATGTGTCACCGTGATAGAAGAAACATCTGGACATCTCAGTGCACGCTTATCTGTGAAGATTATTTAGAACAGAAGCTGGCTGTGTCTTCTTGAGGTTGTTCT